AAGCTGAGAGACCGTTTTTACTGGGTGGATTATTGCGAAGATGTTAAGAAATGGTGTCAACGTTGTAAGATTTGCGCAGCTAGACAAAGACCAAGTACTCGATCTGGGGAAGAAATGGAACAGGATAGCGTTGGACTGTCGTTCGAAAGAATCGCTAGGAAGGAAAGATTATTGGACATTCATAAGGCCGTTAGAAGTAAGATTGCGCTAGCCAGTGACCGGATGAAAGCTCATTACGACCTCAGAGCTAATTCTACGGGATTTCAACAGGACGATAGGGTATGGTTGTATAACCCACAGCGCAAGAAAGGAAGGTCCCCAAAGTTAACTCCAGCATGGGAAGGTCCTTATACAGTCATCAAGAGGATAAATGATGTTGTGTACCGGATTCATCGCAGCCCTAGAAGTAAGATGAAAGTAGTTCATCTGGATCGATTGAAGAGATACCAGACAGGAAACCTTGATCGGGAGATCAAATTTGAGAAGGGGCAATGTCAAGAAAAAATGGCGCATCCGCCAGAAATTAAAATGTATTACTGGTTGCCTGCACAACCGCAACGTATCCGCCAGAAATTAAAAGACTTTTTCAGGCGCCATCTTTTAGTCAAGTCGAGAAGCAGGAATCAGACAATAGAATTGTCTGGTATGAAGAAGTACGCTTTCCGAGAATTGGGGAAATTTCGAGAAGCAGTCAATAGAGTATATAAGCCGGAGCCATCGACAACTGGGACAGTTTTTGAAATTTGAATATACCGCGTGGAAATTGAAAATCGGACAATTTGGTGAAGGAATAGTTAGTTTGTTGTGTGTTATAAGTTAGTAATTGTGTATAAAGTGAGAAAATAAATTCGTTAAGTATTTTATCGTGAGTTTAAATAGTGGACCCACGGAATCCGTAACAATATATATATGGTCTTTCTGCTTTCTGCCAAAGACGTTTTTAAAAATGATATTTTTAAATATTGACTTATGCAGTGTAGTTTCACTTCAAATATGCACACATAGTGCACAGCCCCCCCCCCCATTTTTTTAACAGTTATTTCGAAAACAGTATAAATCTTGATATTTACACTTTAATTTTGCTTGTTGGGTATAGCAGATAGTATACCTACTATATGTATACAAATAAAAATCTTGTCCCTAATTCGTGGTACGAAAATTGTTTTTTAAGACTATGAGCCTTGTATGAGCAAACGAGTAAAATTTCTTGTGCGCAAAAATAAATTCGCGTTTAAAAAGGCGTAATAACTGGGCCGGTCAGGCGCTCTGCACAATTTTAGAGGCCATAAATGGGCGTGCTATGTACGCAAACTAGCAACCTCACTAGTGCGCGACTCCAAAAATTGGAACCACCAAAGCAATGTTTTTGACGATAAGTTCATAATCTGGTATAATCTGTGGTATAACCATATTAAAACACATTGTTAATTAAGCTAATATTTTTTATTTTGAATAATCTTATATTTTACAAATATATTACAATTTTACACTGACTTATAAATATTATAGAAAGATATATTAAAAACTGTATAAGATTCGTAACGTGAAATTAAAGAAAGAATTCGTTATTATACACCATCCACGTTTCACTTTAATTAGGCTCATAAAAAAATCACAAGCACATTTTTATATTAGGGCAAATAAAATATACTCAAATCGATAATGCAAATGTCAAGAAAAACTGTAAAAGCACAAATTCACTTTGAGTATATTTTATATTACACGATTTATTAAAAAAAAATATATAGGGTACTATACATAAAGGATATGGAATGTTTTAACATTGTAAGTACAAAATACAGGGTTTATATTAGATTAGCCATGTAAAAACGAATACATTTTAGATTTGTATTAAAAAAATTTATACTGAGTTTTCTTAGTGATTATTTGTTTTTAGGAATCTGAAATTGTGGAAATAAGCAATTTTATGGCACTGTGATTTTAGAGTTTTCGAAAATGTACTTGTTTTTAACATCATACTCAAAAAAAACTTCAAGCGATAGGCATATTACAAACATTTTGAGCAGTATAAGTAAATTATATAAGTATAGTTTATACAAGTGACACTGAATAATAATAAAGACAGGATAAATTTATTCACTATATTTTTCGAACGTTATCGAAGAGGCAGAAATTTACGAAAGAAATGAAAAAACATCGATTTATTGCTATCCGTTTTATTTTTGGTTAAACGCTTACTTTTAGAATTATATTTTAGACAACAGTCTCTTTATATTTTAAATCTACGGACAGTTAGTTTTACATTAAATTGAACTATCTAATATTTTTTCTTTATAAAACGCAAAACTTTACAATAGGAGAATGTAAATGATGCTATCAAACAGTGGCGTAGCGTGAGTAAGGGGCGCCCGGGGCGGAGAGCAAGTTTTCCGCCCCTACAGAATCAAATCCGCCGCCTTTGTAACAATTTTTTGCCACCTTGCCTGTCCATGGGGGGTTGCCGCACGGGGCGGACCGCCCCCCTCGCCCCCGCCTTGCTACGCCACTGCTATCAAAGAATATTTTACTGTATTTAAAGGAGTAGGAGTTGTTTTGATTAGTTGTTATGTTGATTTAACTATTGTTTTGATTTAGAACTTTAGTACTTGACCTTACTTTGAAAATTATCTAGGATTGTACTTACGTAGTATTTTGATTTATTTCACATAGGAAGACTTAACTATTGACAATACAGGGTGACAATTTGAAAACGAACAGTATTTAATATTCCCTCTACCGATGATACCGTATGATCGAAAAAAAACGGCGTCCAGTTGGCTGGGAAATGACGATCGATGACATTTCCCATATAAATTTACATATAAAATGACAGCGATCTTCATTTCATAGCCAACGCTGACGCCGTTTTTTCTCGATCATACGGTAGTATGAACATTTGGCGAAATATGCCAATTTACATATCAAGGGGGATAATTTTTGAGGCATTTGTTGTCGTGTTACTTTCAACCCCTTGACCCCCAGGGCACCTACCCCTAAAATTTTAAATAGCAACCCCTATTTCTTTTACCATTTTTGTGTTTCTTATAGAATTCTACATAAACTGCATTATTTTTTTGAAAATTTTATAAGGAACACAAAAATGGTAAAAGAAATAGGGGTTGCCATTTAAAATTTTAGGGGTAGGTGCCCTGGGGGTCAAAGGGTTGAAAGTAACACGACAACAAATGCCTCAAAAATTGTCCCCCTTGATATGTAAATTGACGTATTTCGCCAAATTTTCATACTATCATCGGTAGAGGTAATATTAAATACTGTTCGTTTTCAAATTGTCACCCTGTATACCAAATACATAAATTATTTGATACAGATAATTATAATAACAATAAAAGACAAAAAATGATAAGGTGTTTTAAATTAAGACACGTAAGTTATTATTGAAAAATACAAGCCATGACATGAGCTTCCGACTGGCATATTCTGATTAAATTTTTAATATTCTTGCAGTGTACCTAAAAAAAATACTTTGATATTGTACACGTATTATTTGTTGAATTTGTAACATTATAACATAAAGTTATGCGACAAAGTAAGGTCAATATTTTGATATTTAATATATGAAATCATATTTTTAGTCAACATTAATTATTTACCTACAACACTTATTTAAAACAAAGAAGACTTTTTGATTTTAATGTTAAGAGCCACACACATATTTAGTATACTTTTTGATTATTTTATTTCGAGATGCCGCAAAATCAACAAAATATCCTCCAATAAAACATCTGCTATAAACATCTTATTTATTAACTTGATATGTGAAAAAATAATGCTTTTTATTTTTCTTTAGTTACATCTACGTACGTTTGGTGTTTTGCCTTATTTTACTTTGTTCCGTACAAACATGTAGTGCAGGGGCGTAGCCACAGGCGGTCATGAGGGCTCAAACAATACACACTCAATTTTTTTGACAATTTGGTTTTTAAAAGTAGAAGAATATTAGGTTATTATATTTCAAGAATGTAATTAATTCAATACCCCTCCTCAAATTCCTTTTGGCTACGCTCCTGATGTAAGGGGTGACAAAGAACATTTAAACAAATCAAAAATAAAAAAAGTCTCTGTTATAATATTCAGCCATATACATACATATATTGATAGGTATTTAAAGTGCTTCATTTTAAACTATATTTCAGACAAAAATAGTTCCATAAATATACAGGGTCGTTTTTATGTATGGAAACGGTCGATTATTAGGTAAAATATAGGAGGTACCGCAAAAAGTTTAATACAAAAGTTATAGGATTTTTAAATACCTATTAGCGAGTAATAAATTTAAGTATACAGGGTCGTTCATAAAGTCGTGGCACATCAAAATAATTTTTTTTTAAATAGAACACCCCGTATATTATTACATATTTCAATTTTTCCTTCAATTCTAAGCAAAAATCGAAATAAACATAATGTACTTCAAATCAACCGTTTCCTAGTTATTGACTTTTGAAAATATCACTTAAACAATTCGATTTAATTAATTTCGATGTGTTTGGTTTGATTTAATGACGCCATTCTGCCGAAATTGTGATGCTGTTGTAATGGGTTTTTAAATTCCTATTAGCTACTAGTAAATTTAAGTATACAGGGTCGGTCAAAAAGTTGTGTCACATCATTTTTTTCTAATGAAATCCCCTGTATATTAATGCATCTTTCAATTCTTCCTTCAATTTTAAGCAATAATTGTAATACACAATGTATATAAATTGAAGAATTGAAATGTTAAACCAAAATTTTGTAATTTCCAGACTTGATATACTCTCGGAAACGGTTGGTTTGGGGTGTATTTTTTTGTATAACATTGTGTGTACCTATTTCGATATTTGCTTATAATTGAAGGAAGAACCAAAATATGCAATAATATACACGGGGTTCCATTTAAAAAATGAAACTTTGATGTGCCACGACTTTATGACCGACCCTGTATACTTAAATGTATTACCCGTTAATAGATATTTATAAACTCTATAACTTTTATATTTAACTTTTTGCGGTACCTCCTATATTTTACCTAATAATCGACCGTTCCCATACATAAGAGCGACCCTGTATATTTTTTCCTCGAGCTTACATCTTGAACTCAACATCCAATTAAACGATTTTATAAGTGAGATAGTTAATTATTCAAAAATATCTTCCCTCCATACCATGTCTATTACATTCAAGTGGTCTAAAATGAAACACTTTATATATTACATTTTTAAGATATACCTAGGATCTATGACAGTAGCGATGAAAAAAGTGTTAAACATAATATAATTAATCTAATATTTAAGATCACATTAAAATCTCGTAATATAAACGAAATACGTCCGTTATTCGAATCAGTCCAAGAGATGTGGTTTACAATAAATTAAAGCGCAAGCTGCCGCAATATTATCTTATAGTTACAAGAAAATAATATATTGATTAATAAGTCCATAATAGTTTAATATGCGGCACAGTATAAATACAAATACATATAACCACTTAACGAGGTTATTACATATTATAGGAATGTAGAGTAGTTTATTCCTAGGTATTAAAAAAATCGAAAATATTAAAAAACCAAATAAATTATAGTTTCAAGTCTTAGTTTAATTTTTCAATAACTAATTATTTACCTAACTAAAACGTATCAATGGTGAAGCTAAGAAATAATGCATTTAAATAATTGAAGGGTCCAGGGGAAAACATGCTAAGCGCCATTTTACTAATTTTACAGGAGATCCCTGGACGGCTGGTGGTTACCAGGCTCTTTCCTTGTATGTATTATTTTGTGATAATTTAACAGCTTATAACAGCTACTAGCCCTGCAGAGCTTATAGGTACATTTTGTAGGGACCAGTTAGACCTACTATAATATTATAAAACCCTAAAATTAAGAAATTGGAGCTTATCATGTTTTCCCCTGGGCCCTTCAATTCTATTTTTAAATCTATAGGTTTAGTAACTACAATATTGCTGTCCTCCATTCGCGAATTTCAAGTTCCAGAGCTTTACACCCTGGGCTACTCGAGAACGGTTCTGAAAGGAGCTGTGCGCAATAGCCTGGTGCCGCCATATGGCGCGGAACAGTTCTGAACTTTATGACTCAATTGAATGGAGTGAGAGTATCGTATTCTTGAACAGTTCAGAGCTGCACAACTGCGTGAATAGAGGACTGTAAATGTAGCACAGTTTGGTAAATGTGTTTTTCTCCAAAACGATTTTTTCCTCATTTTTTTTATACACACGTTTCTCTATAAATTTAGCAACTATAAAGTTGAGAATTTTGTTTTTGCCCGATTGGCTTCAAGTATTAATTTTAAAAATTAGGTTTCTTAGATGTCTCACTGTCCAAACCTCTAGAGATAGAGAAAATAATATATGAAAATTGTTTACAAAAAGTGGATGGCATGAGTGTGGAAATTCCGATGATATGGTTGTGAAAATATACAGGGTGAGTCTTCAATAAGTGCAAATAATTTTATGGGTAGTATATTTTGACCCCAGAAACACGATAATGAGAATTAGTAGAAAAAATCAATTCAATGTTTTGAAAAAAAAATTGGAATTTATTTTTGTTTTTAGGCAACATTGGTGGTAGATTAAGTTTACAAGAAAGAAAATCCTGAAAAGATCTAGTGGTTCTCAAAATTTTGACAAAAAGTTTTTTTTGGAAATTTTTGAAGTAAAATAACTAGGTTATTTTGGATTTATTTGAAAAATGGTAAAGAGAAAATACGTTTCTTTTATCCCGATCTACTAGCCCTAAAAATATTTGCACTTATTTCAGACTAACCCTGTTATAGTTTTAATGACGTCACATTGTGTAAACTTTTCGGATTTGTTATTGTAAAAATTGTAGAGATAGAGAACCGAGTAAAAAGAACAGTTTTATATAAAAGTTGTTTAAAAATGTGTCCCTTCAGATTATGATCAAATATGGTATGGCTTATGGCCCAAGAAAAAAAATTGATGACGAATCGTCAAAAAGACTTTTTGGCAATTGCAAAATTGCAATTGTCCAAAAAAAGTTTTTAGACAATCCTTCAATTTTTCACCACAATTAATATGATCCAACAAAACCCATATATTTTAATCTGCAATCAAGAATCTGAAGTCCAATGAATATTCGATGTTCTATTCAGTATTTATACTATGCCGTCATATTTCTATTCATATTTAAATTAAAACCGAAACTAGAGAGTCAGAGTTCTTTACACGCATTACGTCACTCTATGCTAAAATTTGACACAAATGAGATTTGTAACAGGTGTCCGCGTTGAGCTCCTCGACCGCCTCATCTTACACTAGGAACCCTTCGTTACCGTTGACGCGTATCTGCGCCCGAATGTTCTGTACACTATTCATAATTTTCTTCTGGTGGCCCACCAGGGTGATGCCCAGCTCCGTCAGCTCCTTCACCGTCAAGTTGACCACGGCGTCCATGCTGTTGATGCCGCCCGCGTGGAAGTTCTCCAGGTAGCGGGTCATCTTGATGGAGTTGAGCCATTCCTCGACGGAGGTGAACTGCGTCAGGTCGGGAGCGTCGGCGGACAGGGGATTGGCGGAACTGCAAAAGGTCAAACCGTCCGATTAGATGGACCTAGAGTAAATTATATTAATACATTCGTTTAATGGTACGGTTTTGTATATTGGTAGGAATGACACGGGAGTTATTTAACATACTGGATGACCAATTAGTGCGAGGAAGTCCAATATTGTCGTCGTTTTCGAAGATAGGAAAAAAAGTTTTATATGCATGATGCATGGTTTATAAAGGGGCATATCCTAAAAATATCTTATTTTATAGAGCGATAGGGGGTATCCGAAAAACAAGTTATGATAAAGATTTTTTATCTCTCCAAAAATATCCTTTATGGGTATTTTGCCACTGTACTGCAAGAAAATCTATAAAATAAAATAGTTATTTTTTGTAAACACTTCTGCGTTAAACCTAGACGGACACTGCTTGTCAGAAGTTATGTTTACAGTTACACAAATTTGCCTAACAAAGAAAAAAATGCTCAACGTTTCGGAAAGTTTATCACTTTCCGTTGTCGAAAGCAAAAAAATACAAAGAATAAAGAAAAAAACTAATTAAAGTATTTAAATTTAACTACTCGAGAACACTTTACTTTTTTAAAACAGATACGTCTACAAGAAACCGTTGACGTTCTGTTAAAATGACGTTATATCCCCCAAGTTAAACTTCAAAATTAAAATTAACAAACCTGATAACAATTACTTAATATGATAAAAACAAAAAGCCCAAACTTTCTGTATGATTATTTTTAAATTTTACGTATGTTATGTTTATTTATGTTATGTTCTTTAAAATCAAAGAAACAATTGCCATTCTACTGCATTTTAACTGAAACTTTGGTTAAAAACACTGTATCCCAAAAGTGGTTAAAAACTAAAGTAAACCTAACTTTTTATTAATACTTAAGTAGATTTTTCTAAACACCAAGAATAAAAGAATAAGCTTCAGAAGAAAACTTTATATTACCATATGGCCATTAATACTACCCTGTATAAACACGTGGATAAATCAACGCCATAAGTTTAGCATTAAAAAATATGTCTCCAACATCACGATATGCAATTTTCAAACCTTCTTTATTGCACTTATGAAACGTTCAGTAGGTTTGTCTTTCTCAAGGACATTACTTTGCGCCATGCGCATGAAATGTTACTTCCAAAATAATCACAATTTTATACGGTTTAGAAAGTACAAATTATACATTGTTATGGGTTATGGAAACCAACTTTTCATTATCATCATATTGTCATAATCATATGCATAATCATATGTCATAATCTTATTCCCATTGTGTAATGACGCTTGTTTTTTGTTTTTTATTTTAAAAGTTGTATTAATTACTATTTTATCAACTGCTTTTATATAGCCAAGGATGCAAGTGTTGTCAATGAGAAGTTAATTTTAAGTTTGTGCAACTATATTTCTATTTTTCGTTGGGCTTTCTAAATATTCGTAAAAATGACTAGAAAGTGTTTAGTGTGTGAAAGTTCTAATATAAAGGTCCCCAAATTATCTTTTCATAGGCAAGTAAAGTATTCAGTTGTTATTTTATTTATATTAAGCCACATGCATACTTTCTGGTTATAGATTTCCTAAGAATATTGATATTCATACAAAGTAGCTAAATGTATTTTTTATATAATTTAATTTTTGTGACAGTAAACATTCAATTTATTGTTCAAATATAAGCATTATATAAATTAATTTTTTAAAATTAATGTTCAAATTTGGCGCGCGGACGCTAGGTCCGTGACAAGGATAGATAGAGTAGAAGCACCGAGTGTGCAGCAAAGAAAGAAGATAAATGGAAGACGTTGATATGTTTGCGCCAGTTTCCATAGTGATTACTTATCCATGTAAATACATATTATATGATCTAGGGTATAAACAGGGTAATATTTATGGCATCTCCAATATTTAAAATGTCATATCTCTTTTTTTTAAATGCAATATCTAGAATATTATTTTTCTTTTAGATACAAAATTAAAAAATGAACATTTTTTGTATTTAAAATGTTATCTACATTTTCAAAAGTTTCGCAGATATTCGCGGGATTATATTACTTATGGCTCTTTCACAGTAAATTTTTATCAAAGTCACCTAATGATCTTTGTCTAGCAGGGTTGGCATGATTTAAATCAAGTGATTTTTTTAATTTTAGTAATGTGATTTAAATAAAAAAAAATAATTTTATTGAAACTTTATTATAAATCAAAAAATAACTGTAAAAGTTATAAAAATGTGTCCTAGAAAACTATAAAAAATATTTCTATAACAGATATAACAGATAATAAATCGAAAAATAATTGTAAATGATATAAAACTATATAAAAATATCTATTCATCAATTTAATTGTTAGACCGATTTTTGAATTAATTTCGTGTGAATCCATTAGACCGCTAAACGCAGGGATTTATTTTAAAAGTGACACAAATTCGCTGTTCGAATACCTATCATTCGCAAAGTCTAGTGCAGAACTAGGTTCTTCTGATGTAGAGAATATATCTTCATTTCCGAGAATCTATAATCGTTGTCAGAAAATATATTGTTTTATATTTATTTTGAAACGGTTGTATGTTTCCAAATTCCTATTGACATTTTGATCTGCAGTAAGCACTTTGACATTAGATAGATAATACATACTAATTTCATTCTCGACTTAAGACTATTTCCGAACAATAGTGTATTGTTTTATTAGGAATAAAAGTTATACTTTTTTGACGATGTTGTATACCTGTGGACCTCATGGTCCTTATGAGACAAAAAAGTACATTTTTACTCCAAATAGAAAATACTATTTTTTTAAACATTGCAAAAAATAATTTTTTAATAAATTTTAAACATTGCAAATAATATAAACAGTAATCGAGCAACAATTTGTACACTCGTTGAATTTGACACCTAATAATCAGTTTTCTCTTCCTTTTGACTTGAAGCGAACGACTTTTTTTGCGGAATATATTGGTGACCGATGTGGAAAAATCACAACGCCCCGTAAAATTCTTAATGTTATCGGTATCGGGGTATAGATTTAGCCATTTAGGATAGGAGTTTAATTGGAAAAAAGTCCTAGTCATTTGGAAATCCGATTTAAATATTGTTTTGAATTAAAATCAAAAAAATCTGATTTAAATAAAAAAAATCTGATTTTTTTGATTTTTTAAAAAAAATCATGATTTTTTCCAACCCTGTTGTCTAGTATTAACCTAACTGTTAAACCTAACCTAACTGCTAAAAATTTAGGAACATTTTAAATGAAAAAAATGTATATTTTTTAATGCCGGATCTAAAGAAAATATAATATACAGGGTGTTGGTTAGGTTGCCATAAATAATACCCCGTATAGGATAATGTAATTTTTCCTACGTGAATTAATTCTGTTATTCCTGATGGTGTTTAGGAAAATTTAGCTAAGAACTAATAAAGTTATATTCACTCCAATTTATATCCACTTTTCGGATATAGTGCTGAATCCAATTATGCACAGTTGGATATTACCACCATTGCACCATTATAAACCATACAATATCTGTCTAAATTTTTTTTTCATATATCTTTGTCAACAACGACGATATTGCACTAATGGGCCACCCTGTATATTAAAAGAACACCATTAATAAAAAACAGCTCTACTTTTACGAGAATATGAAATCGAGAAAAATACTAAATAAGAATATACCGCAATGTCGACTCTTAAGTTTTAACATTTTAAAAATGTATTTATGATATATTCTTTATAGATATCTCAAACAAGTATTACCTGTATGGCAACGTCGACCTGAATATACCATATGATCGAAAAAAAAACGGGGTCAAAGATGGCTGGGGAATGACAATCGATGATAATTTTGGCGAGGTTCTTTTAGGGTCCCTAGACGTCATTTACTTGATCCGTACTCTTCTTTATTTATAACGGCGTTTATATTTATTGGCCTTAAGAAGGTTGGAATTATTTTTATACTAAAAATTATTTTTAAATGGTGTAGTTTAAAATTCGAATTTTTTTTGAACTAGTTTTGGTGTGTCTGGAAAAGTTTTATTCATTTTTAATCTTTCTATAAATAGTGTTAACTTTTAACAATTTTTATATAAATTTTTAGAAAATGACGTCTAGAGATTGACTTCGCCAAAATTATCATCGATTGTAGTTCCATAGCCGTCTTTGACGCTGTTTTTTTCGATCATATCACAGATTACAATATCTACTATGTTATCTGTGATCATACCGTAGAAAATCTCATGTAAATTTTAAAGATGATCAATAAAAGTTTCCCATTTTATTTTATAGAAAAACTTATTTAAAACATTTTAAAGAAAATTCAAATGAAGAAAAACGATCATTTGGAAAAATGTATACGAATTCGTTTTTGAGTTATAGGAGATACAAAAATACTAATTTAACCAAAAATAATCTGGTCCTAGTCATATAAACATAACAATCACAAATTATGTCAGAATATGAGAAATTTATTATGATTTTCTTCTAAAGGATCTGCCAATATCCTAAATTATATATTATCCATGAAAAGTTATAAAAACTACACAGTAAAAATAATAGTATAATAGAAATACACTACTTCATCATTTATAAATTATTTTTGACAACAATACCGTCAATTTGACATTAAAATGTTGAATTTAAAGGTGACCTGGGTGACATGTTTGTTATTCCAATCAGATTAGGATAATCTTTTGTATGAATTTAGATTTTTTTTTGGAACTAAAAAGAAAATTCGTAGAAACTATCGAAAATAAAAAAATTGCTACTAAATAGTTCTTTAAAAATAAAAATTTATAATAAATCCTTGTGTAAAATAAAATGTTAAACTTTTATCATTTCAAAAATTTACGTGGGATTCCCTACATTCAGGTCGGTAATGCAACATACTGTATATGACATTGTGTAATACAAAAATAAACTCACCTAGAACAAATAAAGATTAAAAAAATCTCGCAAACAAAATTAAGTATTTAAAAGATATTTAGAAAGATACATTTTCTACACATATGAAAAACCTTGTACCAATTGAAAACCTAAGTTCTAAGATTAATAGGTGATAAGTGATAACAATTCGGATTAGTACAAGCAAGCAAAAGTAAAAAGCAAACAAATACCTTAGATACAGGTGGGACCCAAAACAAAAAAAGCATAAGATACTAATTGTCAAAATCGACCCAAGATTTTGACTGATATGTGGCTCCGCCTTCCCCATCTTTATGTTTCTTGAACAACTCTGTCGAACTACCAGCAGTAATGTCTATGTTGTCATCAAAGTTGCTAGATACATTGTCGGAATTTTCAAAAATCATCTCTAAGTTACTTTCGAAGCTTTTCGAAGTTTGCTGCTTGATTTCTTCTCTCGGCAGAATCTTCTCATAGATGTTTTGTACGAATACCTCGTCTGGTCTCTTATTAAGAATAACATCTTTGTGATTTTGCAAGAAATTGGGATCTAGGTTGGGATAATAATTTGATCTTTGATTGAAGTAATTTGAAGACAGACTACTAGCCGCTCCGCTGTAAAATTGCGTATCGAACGAACTATTGTTAATCCAATTCTCTGTATTGATATCTTTCATTTGGTGACAGTCAAAAAATTTATCCTCGTGTATATTTAGTAAACTACTGAACCTCTTCTTCATTTCATGATCTGCAATTGAATTTCGATAGTGCATCTGATTCTGCCTGTCCACGTCTTCTTGAGTGAGAGTATAAGGAGCAAACGTATAATTCTGTAGAAGAATTACGTCGGGTAGATACTGTGAGGAACGGTTGCTATGACCGACAATTTGTGGCTGCGAGCACCTTTGAATCGAACCAAAATAAGGATTACTGCTGGTTAATTCGAGAGCTGACTGGGGATGCAACAAATGGTGTTGGGTGTTTAGTTGCCAGGGATTTGGGTGATTAAGCAGTGGTGGATTTCTAAAATGTAAAGTTAAATACGAGTGTAAGTGAATGGTGCGTGTGTTAAGTGCATTTATCTAATATTCTTGAGCTATTTTTTTTTGTAATGGGTGATTATGCTCTAACTGTGCTAGTTTTATTGATATTCGTGTTTTAATTTTATATTTAAACTTTTCTTTTCCTTCATGCGTATTTTTATGCTATTTTATACCAGAAATCAAAATGAAAAATTATTTACCGCCGTGCATGCTTTATGCCGTGGTTTTACTGCAAGTTTCAAATTTTCATAACGCTACGGTGATGAAAGAAGTATGAAATTGATAAAATAATAAAAAAAATATGTCTTTTAAGTTTAATTATACCAAGGTGAGCCTTCAATAAGACTAAATACCGTATGTTCGAATAAAAACGGCGTCAGCGATGGCTATGAAATGAAGATCGCTGTCATTTTATATATAAACTTATATGGGAAATGTCATGATCGTCATTTCATAGCCATCACTGACGCCGTTTTTATTCGATCAGACGGTATTTTTAGTGACGGTATATTTCGATCCCCAGGAGAGTTTTGTTTTGCAAAAAAATGACTTAGAAAATCGTGTATTTTCTTTTAAATTTTTCTATATATTTTATAAAATTTTTTAGAACTGCATGTTCACCGCAAATTTTACCACGGCATAATTTGTTAATCTTTGATATTACCATAGTTACGGCATTAAAAGGGATGCAAATACATCAAAGCCAATACAGAAAAAATCCCGCGGCTCACAATTTTTTTACAAACAAATATTTTTTTTTAATTTTCAAACTTGAATAACTCGGCTATTTTGTACTCATTTGAAAAACAGTAAAGAGAAAATATGTTTCTTTTTGTGGAGATCTACCAGCCCTGAAAATATTTGCACTTATTTAAGACTCACCCTGTATATTATAGGTTTAATCAGTCGATTAGTTTGAATTATTCATTACGACCAAAAAACAGACAATTTACAGAAAACCCATAGAAAAAAGCATAGTATAGGTAAATAATGGAACATTGTACGGTCCTGACATGGTACGGTGACATTTATGTAAAATTCGAGTTACTTATTCTATGAGAAAAATATTGCGAGTTTTCTTCGACTGCAAGCTATATTATACAAAAGAAGTGATGAAATATGTTCTTGAGAATTGAATTGTTACAAAAATACTAATACATTTAAAAATCACAGTTAAAATGGAATCACCCGGCGAAAAAATAACTCAAAAATACTAAAACTAACAATAATTACAGCATGAAAATATTGTTACAAGTGTGGCCAATAAACCATAAAATAGGTAAAGCAATGATAGGTGTACATATTTACGGTTACTATGAGCTCTAGAAGCATATATGAATGTGCAAAAAAACAGAAGCAAAAACATGAAGGCGGGCAAAAATATGATGAAATAAAACTTACAACATGTAAAGCATAGAGTTTCTCATGCTGCAAATAAAGATGTCGAAAATTATTAAATAAATCGAAATATATATTTTTTTAGTTCGAAAGTAGAAATATAGATAATTAAATTGTGAGCTAAGTTTGACAGCGAAAAAAATCAAATTATTCAATAATATTTGAGAAACATAACTTATACATTTATTTGGAGAATTAATGATGCAAATGTCAAAACATTTAATTACTTACCGATTCTGAGCAATTTTTCTTAAAGTATCTGGGACGCGAATTAACTTATCTAAAGTTTTTACGATGGATTGGAAGGAAGGCCTGTGGGTTCTTTCTTTTTGCCAACAATCTAACATTAATTGATAGATGGCTTCTGGACAATCCATAGGGGCTGGCAGTCTGAAACAATAAATAATATAAAGTTCATCATTGTAAAGTGATGTGTTTGTGTTAAGTGTAAAATTAATGTTATAAAACACTTTGTAGTATGACGTATACAAAAATATCATGTTTTGAATTTAGTAAACATCTCGGCTTCTAAGTGTCCTTTAAATTCGTTATTATCAATTTTCTTCTCTATTTTTTTTTCTTCCTCTATGCTTATAATTAAAAAAATTGTGTGTGCAACATGTGCGCATATTTGAAGTGGAACTTCTTACTCGCAGATATTAAATTGAAGGACTTTTGAAAAAGTATAGTTTGAAGTGTTGGCCTACCCAGAAAATTTGGTCGCTATCGGACGACATCAACTTATGACATTTCTTACATCAAAACTATCACAGTGACACGCGTCGTACACGGTGAAGTCGGCCTTGGTCCGAACCAAAGTCCGAACTACGGACATATCAAATTATATTTAAATTGGACGATTTTTTCTGACCGCTAGGCTGTCCTTAAGAGTTTGCCTTTTGCGTGTCGTGTCTCGTGTCGTGATACGGTCTTGAATTTTTACTACCAGCTCGCGTAAAGTTTCACTTCAAAAAATAAAGCTTATAAAAAGAAGAGAGAAGTTGATTTTAGTATTTTTTTTTGAAATATTAAAATAATTAATGCCTTTTGACATAAATCAATCCCCATATAATCAAACCTACCAAATAAAGCATCATTTATCAGATATTATTGTATACGTAGTATATGTATTTGTAGAGATAATCTCTTAAAAAGTAATGTTATGTACCTGTAGCCCTTTTCTATGCTCTTGATGACGTCTTGATTGGACCAGTTCCAATATGGCCGTTCTCCATAAGACATAACCTCCCAACACACAATACCCATCGACCATACGTCACTGGCAGATGTGAATTTGCGGAAAGCAATAGCTTCTGGAGCTGTCCATCTTACTGGAATTTTACCTCCCTAAAAAGAATACATAAAATGTGAAAATAAGGAAAACATATGTAAAACTTTAAAGCTGTGACGATGATATTAATGACAACAAAACAACAAAATGTCAATAATAAATAAATAAATGCCTTTATTGTCAAAAAAAAAATTTCAATTTGTAGACAAAGGTAAACTAAACAAACAAAGTAAACAAACAAGGTACACAAACAAACAAACAAAAGATAATACAAAACATTATACAAATAATATTGTCAGTCTTATTGTTTAAAATAAATATTTATAAATGTTTACAATGTCAACGAACAAAAAAATAAAAATAATATTCAAAAATATTTAGTTAGTTTATAGTAAATATCAATGACATCTAAATAAATTTATTTCGATGTCATTAGTAAATATAGCAATAGCAAACATTAGACCAGTCTTTACAAGATCAAATTCGATTTTCAAAATATAATTCATTTACGGCGTAGAAGGACCTAGTACGCATAATTGTAGGTGTCGTCACTGGAAACTGTCCCACGGGGGTAAACCTCGTAAGATGGAAGGTTTCCGACGACGACTACTGCAGAGAATGCGGAGAGAAAGAAGAAACCATAGAGCACCTGTTGTACCACTGTCCGGCACTGGAATACCGACGCTTTAAAACTTTAGGGCAAGGTTTTTTGGAGGGGCTAGAGGAAGCAGCAGAAGCCAACATCAGCGACATCGGGAACTTTGCAAAGAGCTGGAAGTGATTTAACGCAAAGAAAGAATGAGAGGAAGGTTTGGTAAAACAGGGGTATCGCAATGGGCCCAAGACCACCGAGTGAGGGATCAAATATGATCCCAAACCCCAGCAACCTAACTAAACCTAACCTACGGCGTAGAAAGCCTTGTCTAGTAAATAAGAGTTCAATGCTTTGCGAAATGAAGAAAATGATGTTATGGATTTGATTTCAAATGGCGGGTGATTGTGCATTTTTTTCGAGTTGTATAATATTGAACTTATAACTAACTCTGAGCGTGGGGTAGGTAGATAAAGATCTTGCTCCGCGTTCGTGAGTGGATAAGTGTGAGATGGCCTTTCTTGAGAAGCTGATACATGCTTACGTATTAGGCAAACGGATTCAAATATAAATAAGGAAGGAAGAGTCAATATTTTTAATTTTTTAAAAAAGTCCTGGCAATGAGTTCTGCTGTTTAGTCCCAGTGAAATATCGAACAGCTCTCTTCTGGAGCTTGAAAATGCGGTCAAACTGAGTCGCACAAGACGTACCCCAAAATGGAAGGGCATACCTGAGGTGCGACTCAAAAAGTGCATAATAAACAGTTCTAGCCACTGACAAGTTAAGCTCCTTAGAAACTGACCTTAATGCAAAACAGGCAGAGCTCAGTTTTTTCGACAAAGCTTCGATATGTATGTCCCATTTCAGAGAATTGTCTACAACAAGCCCTAAGAATTTTACAGATTTTACGACGTCAATGGTGGCGTTGTTAAGTACAAAAAGCTGCAGCGAGTTTTTATACGACAAAGCTTTAGTTTTAAAAATGTTGAGAATCAGGAGGTTCGAATCGCACCAAGATTTAATGGTGATTGAGTCATTTGATATGATCCTATAAAGTGTCGTGACGTCTTTGTTGCTCCAAGTGAAGCTAGTGTCGTCCGCAAAAAGACATATTTTGCCACTGATGTTTATGTTAGCAATGTCGTTAATAAAAAGAAGAGACAAAATATAGGGCCTAGTACTGAGCCTTGTGATACTCCACATTCTATTGGCTTGCTAAAAAACAACGTGGTATCCACCCTCACAAGTTGACTTCTGTTGCTCAGATACGACTTAAACCATTCGAGAGATGATCCCCTGAACCCATAGTGCTGCAGTTTATTAATTAGGATATTATGATTTACACAATCGAACGCTTAGAAAAATCACAGAAAATTGTTGCTGTAGAATGATGGTTATTTAGGTTGGAGTAAACTTTATTAAGGAGGGAAAACATAGCGTAATTTGTGGACTTGTTGCTTAGAAATCCAAATTGATATTCAGTAAGTATTTTGTATTTAAACAGACAAGATACCAGCCTTCTTTTAACCAACCTTTCTATGATCTTAGATAGCGTTGGAAGGAGTGCAATTGGGTGATAGAAGCTTCATCTTTGTCTCCTCCTTTATGCAGAGGAATGATTATTGCCGTCTTAAGACATTTTGGAAAAATATCATTTTGGAATGACATGTTTATTAAAGTAGTCAGGTGATTCAGAGTGCTTTCTGGCAGATTCGAAAACATTTTTAAAGTTAGCCCGTCGGTCACAGAAGAGGATTTATTTTAGATGGTATTAATTGTACTGCGAAGCTTTTCTAAAACTACGGGCGAAAAAAAGTGTGTACTTACTCTTGTGGTGTAAGCTCCTTCAGTAGCGCTTTCTATTTCCCTACTTAAACCAAAATCAGCTATCTTACAGACTAACTCCGAATTTACTAATACGTTCCTAGCCGCCAAGTCTCTATGCACATAATTCATCTCACTAAGATATTGCATTCCTGAAGCTATGCCTCTCAGCATACCGACCAACTGTATCACTTTGAATTTGCCATCATTTGCCTGAAAATAAAAAGAAAATTAAAATGTGCGAATTATGTCCATTCTCGAAGGAAAGTTATTGGACTGAAATTTATAATTTAATATTTCATATAAGTAAACTACAATATATCCATATGGATGAAGTAAAATATCTCCAGTATGGTACCTACACTTAGATAAAATACAAGATGCAAATATTATGGTTTTCAGTTTTAAATAAAAGTCCGTTTCTAACCCTATTTTTGTAACTTTGTCAGCAGAGCATCGATTGCCCTTATTTACACAGCGCAGCTTCATGAACCCCACATTATACTTACTGTATTCTAGTTCACCTTCAAAAGAGTCTCTAATATTTAAATTAATTAAAATACAAAAGCATAATTTCTAATTGCCAATTTGCTTCTGCAAGACCTCATCTCCTTTGTCAGTGCTATAACCTGGCAAATGTCCAATTCTTTGTTAAAGAGAAATAATCAACTGTTATACCGTATGATCGAAAAAAAACGGCGTCCAGTTGGCTTCGAAATGACGATCGATGACATTTCCCATATAATTTTACATATAAAATGACAGCGATCTTCATTTCATAGCCATCGTTGACGCCGTTTTTATTCGATCATACGGTATAAGTGTTTTAGGGTATTGTGGTTATTTAGTGTTTTATTTTGCTGTTATAACATTAAAGCTTCCAACCCCCAACTGTAATCATATTGTTTTATCTATGGTAATCGCAAAACATTTTCCGATGCACGTGATCAACTTTGAGTAACAAGCGATGGCGATAGCGCTGTCAGATTGTGATGGATTTATGAGATGAATCTTAATTTAAAAGTGACAAATAATATATTTATTATATCATTTTTTAAAGATTTTTACGTTTTATTTTTAATTTAATAACTAATATTTTAGTAATTAATTGATTTATTTGTTTTATAGATTATTTTAGTTATTACATATTGGCAAAAACTAGCCTATTATGAAGATTATTCTAAGCGTTATTATGACTTATTTATTTATTTGTAAGTATATCTTATAATACCATAAGTGGTAATAACAAGTAAGACGGTGCTATTAATGCACGAACTAATAATCACAGAATTTAATAAAAAAATAACGTAGAAATAACTTTGAAAGTGGTGTAATGTGCTTATCAATCAAACTTACTTCTCTGACTGCAGTCAAGGGTAATAAAGGACCTTTATTGTCACATTCTCGTTCAAAATAGTTTATCAGGGAAACTCTTTGCTGACTGTTTAAATGCTTCGGCATATTATCGATAATTGACCAACCAAGCGATAATAAAATTCGGTTTAAACTAATTTTTGCAGCTTTAATCTAAATAAAATATCTGTTACAATCATTTGATCTATAAAGTAAAATGAAGAACTGCTCGGTATCTTAAATTATGCAACAAACCCAAGCAGCATTTGGACGTCAGGACAACGCTGTGTCACGAGACCAAACATCGGGGCGCATCGTCGGCACAACCTCGTGCCAACCCTAGTCTGCACTAGTTTGGAGAATAATTTTTGGGTCGAGACGACGTTGGATACCGACGTTGGCTAGCAGCCTAATTTAGTACAAACTGCAACGTTGTGTAAAATCCTAATTCACAGAAATACAAAACTATAATAATATGGCGTCTAAGTCGCGTTTTATCCTAAATTGGGAAAATTATAGTAAAAATATTATTTTTATGATTTAGTTAGAGACATATGCCAGATGGCAGTAAAGGAAAACAAAACAAAAGTATTTAAGTGTGGAGGATGTTTGAAGATCATAATTATTGAAACACTTTAACCGATTCTGTAACTCGTTATCCAAGGCAAAAAAGTTAAACGCAAACAACTTTATTGATACATGTATTGTTTCTACTTTGAAAAATACTAATGGGCCTTAAAATTAAAGAAGTTTTAAAAAATGTCTTGAATTTTTTTTAGTAAAATGAGATTAATTTATTCGCAGTCGAGAAAATGTTTCTGCGTGTTGTTTAGGGTCAAATATTTCAAGTTAATGTATTCAAAAAGCAGGAATTGCTATTTTAGGAACGAAACATTTTCTTATTCAACAACATGGCGGCTTTCACTTTGTTGTTTTTGAGATTAAGATGGAGTAGTTCGAGTAGTTGCATACTGGACTAATAAAGTTGCAGTTCAGCGTTAACAGGTAGTATACTAGTCGCAAGATTGCCTAATTTAGTCATCCTAGAGTCTAGCTTGTGCCGCCCTCTATATTCTAAATAAACGAGGAAGTGGATAAAGTATCGGTAATATGTCGATGTATATTTAAATTTAGTTTTATATGTACCTTTCTTATGTCCCATTTTAATTCAGTTTTTTTTATAAAAACAAAAACAGCACTGAACTGTCTGACTGAACAGAACAATGAAGTGAAAATTTAAGATTTAAGTTTATGGTTCAATACAGTTGCAAAAAGGTAGTGGCTCGACGTCCTACGGAAATCTAAACAACGTTGGGATTAGTAAAACAGACGACGTTTGCATAACGTTGGAATAGGTCCTGAAAGTGACGTCGGAAAACTTTATTGCCCAACATTATAACTACGTTGTCCGAATCACCTAAAAAACACTTAAGCAAAAAAGGTTACAAGACAACGTTTATTCGATGTCGCAGAAGCTTTTACTTTGTTGCAGTACTAGTTCAACGTCGGCACAACGTTACAACAACGTTTACATTTATTTTAATACCCAAGGTACGGAGCTAACTATTTTTTGTAACTAATCCACCGTTGTGTTTAGTAACCATGTGGTCGCAAGTCGTGAAAATGCTACTTGGGAATATAAACATTTTTGTCAAAATTTTATTTAGTCAGGTTTATAGACTTAGTGTCAATGTCGATGTGATTGATGACATGCATCGGAAAACATTTTGCGATTACAATATACCCTAATTACACATAATGTCAGTTCTAAGAACAAAAAATGAAAAGTTCTTCATAAAACCATAGAAAGGCGTATTTGTATCTGGAATAAAATATCGCTTACCCTTAAAAACGTGTCCAGAGATCCGTTCTCCATATATTCGGTAATGATCATGACCGGATTGGATTTGGTGACGACCCCTTGCAAAAATATTACGTTCGGATGTTCGAATTGGCCCATTATGGACGCCTCGGTCAGGAAGTCGTTCCGGCTCTTGTCCAGCGATCCGGCCTTGAGCGTCTTGATGGCCACGTCGATTTCCGCCCCGTTCATTTTCAGTTTGCCCTTGCACACGTCGCCGAACTCGCCGCCACCTTGAAAGTAACAACCTTTGAAGTTTGAAGAAAATAAAATAGAATTATTGGCAATTATCGCAATTGGTTGAAGAGAAACGAACTAGTGTGAAATGGTGTTAATTGAAAAGGTTCAAACGGTGCAACAACTAAAGTGTGATATTTATTTAAAATTCTAATTTACGTACGTATATATTACGAGCAATAAGAATATAGTATTTCAATTAGTTTACATTTGATCTAAAATAGTTAAAGAACCACATACGTATAAAATAATAAAACCACAAATCATATTTTATAACGAAGTAGAACGAAAAACGTATTTTATTATGAGCTAACAGCCCCTACTAGAGATGGCTGGATCCGGTATTTTAAAAGAGTAGGATCCGGAGTTACATCAAGCTTCATGGACCTGCATCCAGGTTCCAGTTCCGCCGGATCTATATCATTCTAACTTTTAATTAATTTTCCGCGTTCAAAAGTTTTGTAGTCCGTTAGGGAAATCTGTTGTTTGCGTTTTACAAAATCCTTATTACATGATATTTGTTGTTCTATTTATTTAGTAAAAGTATCTTAAGGTTCAAATTTATGACTACGAGGCAAAGCATTACGATGTTTTTTTTTTACGAAGGAGGCCGAAATAGACAAAATATCAAGAGACAACTTTTAATCGGTATTAAACTGCTTACACTATTCCGCTAACAAGAGAGAAAAAAAGTCAGTGGGGTACATGCTTTTTTTAGAAAATATTCCAGTGATAACCCATATACACGTCCCTGTTCAATATGTCGACACTTTTTTAACTTTAAAATATGTCGCATTTATAGTAACTTTTACCCTCAAAATTTCATTCGAAACGCTAAAAGTACTTGGAAGAAAATTATATTAAATCGAAAAAATATTAAGACTTTAACACCCTGTAGCAACGAAACAACGCAGAATCGGATGTATGTTGATATGAAAAATAAATTTTATTTTTACAAGAGGAATCTACACACGGGACATGGCACATGTTTTTTGAAACACCCTGTATAAACCTTTTTTAATTTTTTATTAAATACTTAAAATACTATACTCATTCATTTTTTCAGGTACGTAAATTAGTTTTTAGTTAATTATTCTACCATAGCTTCCATCTCAAAGTGTTAAAAATATGTTTGTATAAATAATGTTATTTTATATAATATTATATTTTCAATTATATGTATATAAATAAATATTGCAATATATGTACAATAATTCTCAGCTCTTTTTTGCTATATTTCTTCTAATTTAAGTGTAATTGGTATTCATTATTAAATGATAGAAACTTTTGAAAAACATAATAATAATTATAAAAATTTTTAAAACATTTTTTGAAATTTTTTGAAATAATAATAATTAACTTTCAGCTTAATCAGCTCTAAGAATCTTATTAGATGTTTTTTAAACACTTTGGTTATGGAAAATTCATATTAATACTATTTTGAGGCCAGTACCAGGGGGCTACTTTATAAAGGTTACCTACGTGCACAGACCTTTCTATTAAAAAAAACGAGAAGAAATATATAAAATAAAAATTCACAATTTAGAAGATTTTTTTATTGAACCCTTCCAATTAATCAAAGAAAAAAAGAAAATAAACAATAATGTAAATTTATAAATTATCATAATTTAATATATTATGATTCGCTTTTTATTAACTCACATTGTGTTTATATTAATTTCGATTTTACCTTACAACTTCCTTTAGATAGACCTGCTACAGCTCATAATAGATCTAAATTTAAATTCCTTGCCTTTTTTTTGTAATGAAGAATATTTAATGTAATAATAGAAATCAATAAAAGATATTTAAATAGTAATATAATAAAAATTAATGAGAAAAAAATTAAAAAAATAAAAACGAACGAAAGAATACAACAGACACTAAATAAACAGAATGTGATTAGGTGCTCTTGTAATAATAAAGTGAATTTCTAAACATCTTTAGTAACAAAAATTTGTTGAGTTTTACAGAAAAATATTCAAGACATGTAAAAATTCACTCAGTTCTTCACATCATGTATGTGTACTATTACTAGCTAACTTTAATAATTACGCTATGGGAAAGAATTCTAGAAAAATTAATCTCTTCTATTCATATCGTTCCTCTATCATTTCCATCTAAAACTAATTATCTTGGTAACTTTAATTTCAAAAAACCCTTACCTATTATAGCTTCGATGGTAATGCATTTTGCATCAATTTCCCGAGCAAATTCTCTAACAGCTTGGTTAGGATCCTCGTACGTATGAGGATCGATATATGTTCTTGAAGAACCACTAATTCCAGTGAAAAGTGGTGTAGTCACTAGAAGCGAAACCAACATTAAACTTTTCTCAAAAACGAATAATTAAACTATTATATTAAATGAGATCTTATTATCAAAACAACCTTTTTAACATTACCGAGATATAATTTCTATATATTTGGGTAACATAATTAAATTAAAAAAAGAAACAAAAAAGTGAATTACCGTTGGTATGGGTAGTGACAATTGGGGGATTGTCCAAGCTGGAGTGATGAACTAAAAATAATTCGAAAAAAAAATAAAAAAATAAAACTAAATTTTTACTGAACGAGTTAGATTTTCTAAACTAAACCCACACCAGAGGTAATGTTAAATACAGAGAGTTTTGATAGTGGTAACTACCTTGAACGAGTATGGCAATTTTTTTATAGAATATAAAATAATGTTATTGACCTGTCTATAAAAAAGTGGCAAAACTTATTCAAGTAAATATGATCTCACTCTCTGTATATGTATATTAACACCACTATAAGTAGATTAAACAAATATAATTTCAATTTATGAGCGACTTGGTAATATGAAATTATATTCACATATTAAAAAAAAACATAGTAAAGTTTTCCTAAATAGGGGTGTTAATATGTTAAATTAAACTAGTGTTATATGACTTAATTCCTAAAAACTACTTACTGTAAGTAACTACCAGTCCTGGGTTAGGGGGTAGCGTGAAAGTGCATTAAAAGGGGTGTGTTAGAAATGGAGTTAGGGAACTGTGTGTGATATTATGCATTTATGTAGTCTCTAAAGGTATGTGACTAAATAATGCTCTCGTTAAACTTTTACATGAAGTTGTTTCCACTACATAGTGGTAAAGTAATTTTCGAAGTAAGATCTTTATTTAATATTATTTTAAGGTACATACAGGTGTGGAACAGACTTATAACTAAATAACTTGTAAGTAAAATGTTTAATTGTAAATCCAAATTAAAAATGGTTTAGATTTTACTTAAAAAGGGTTAATACTAAATTTGCAGTCCACAATAAAGGTTATAAAAACATTACATATTTATAACTCACGAACGGCTGAATCTATTTTTTACCTTAACTCACTTTTACCTTTTAACTCTTATTAAAGTAGAGGAAAATGTACTAATACTAGGGCGACTTTCAACGTTGTTAATATACAGGTTGTTAATTTGTTTATTACTCGCGGCAACAGCTTTATGGTTGAAATATGGCAACCTCGGCCCGCTCGTCGAGAGACGACGCGACGCGACGAGTCGGCAGCTTAGCTTAGTAATCATTTGGAATGTAGGCATTGTTGCCATTCTGTTCCCCAATAAGTAACCGTCCAGTTAACAATCTGTATATAATAAGCTCCCGCTTTATCAACAAGCCCTGAAACTAATACGGACTAGGGTATTCAATTCAACTCTGCACCAAACAAAGCAACTGAAGGATTATACAAAGATTTCAAAACAAAATACTATGAGGTATTTTTGATGCACTGTGGTACATTCGCAATGACAATGTACATAAGGACTTAGAAGTGGATGATGTCGACAAGATCATCAGGAAATATGCCTTAAGACAGGAAGAGTGGCTCCATCAGCACATCAACATCGAGGTACACCACCTCCTAGATAGGGATGGCAAAAGATCGAAAAGAATAAAACCCTTTCAACTAGTGGAGTGAAAAGTGTTACTACAGCCCAGTGCATTATAAAATAGTGCTAAATAAAACCGATAGAATCAAAATTACTATAATCGGATTAGTGTTTTGTATTTTAACCGCAGCAAATTAAGTCAGACACAAATAACTTATTAGGGTAATTTTACTAGACTGCCTATTAAATTGTCGAAAAATATCTTTCGCAAATGACACGTCACACACATGCTTATAGCTTATTTGTAATAATTGATATCCACCGCAAATCAGTGACATACTGGAGACATTACAGAAACCATTATATTCAAAGCATGGAGAGTTTTATTTTAAGTCTGTTTGTACCTTGATAATATATTAAATATTTCTCAGATTATTATTATGATGCATTATTATCTATTATAATTAGTTAAACTAGTTAGTGCAAAAAATTGATCTATTTTTACCTCTATTTCTGTCTAGCATTTAAATTCTACTAGTATGTGCACCCTAAAACCCAATGTTTCGTGAAAAACCAGCTTACCTTCTCCATTTCTGTATTCGAGGGTATCGCAATCGCTGGGTTGCTTCTTGTTGCATTCGTCGTTTGATCTGGATCTGACGAATACGACGGTGAGTACAATAACCGCTACGAGGACCACTACAATAACGACAATTGCTCCTGCTACTAGCTGTAATCTGAATCCTTCTTGTGGTCCAACAAAAGCTAAAACACAATCAATTTGAAATCAAATATATAACATTTTAGGTAGTGTCTATAGTTTGTCCTAGTAACTGTAACGAATATTAATTTTTAAATAAAAAATACCGCTGATATTTGTGACTACGAATTTCAATGTGTTGTTAAAAATATTATACACGTGCTTATGGATGTTATAATTAAAAAAGAAAAGTAACTTTTAAATGAACATTTTCTTTGTAATTCAAAGTTCATATACCATCTCTTGATGGACAGACTTTACAATTGACTCTTTATTCAGAATTAATAAAACTTTTAATTTGGATATCCGTTCCAGCTTTCGATTACTGTTTCCAACGAATAAAATGTATTTTGACAGATAGATATGTCAATAGAAGCACTAATAATCTATCGAAAGACAAACATTACTAACAGTTGTCTGTAATTTTAATTCTAAAGTGCGGTGATACTTTCTGTATTTTTTTTTAAATTTATTACGAAATATTTAAATTGTTTTGCGTTTTTCCTAATTGATATTTACCTGGATTTAAAACTTGTCCAGTGGTATGGAATATAACTGGAGACCATGCTCCCCATCCTCTTGGTGTTTTGGCTCGAACTTGGAATCCATATTCTGTTCGTTGCTGCAATCCGGTGATAGTTGCTTTTAAAGTCGTTATTAGAAAACTAGTGGAATTGCTGTATTCCTCATTCCTGGGGAACCACCTGCAGGAAGAAATATTAATGATATATTTTCGAAAGATGTATTATGAAAAAGTTTGAAGTGATGATCAGAGTAAACAGAGTACACATAATCTGTGTTTATTTTTTGAAAATCAGACAGAAATTTGCGATAGATGTTTTTAATAGTCGAATTATTCTAGTATCAAAACAACATATTAATATTATAATTGAGGAAACTTGTAGGGCTTCTTTAATATAGGATGAATGGTAAATATGTGCAAATATTTTCAGGGCTGGTAGATCTCGTTAAAAGAAACATATTTTCTCTTTACCGTTTAATAATTCCAAAATAACCGAAATATTTTACTTCAAAAATTACAAAAAAAATATTTTTGGCTTAAATTTTGTTTTCTTTGTTGTAAATTTAATCTATTACCTATGTTGCCATATTATCAAGAAATTATGTATTTTAACTAGAAACTAAAAAAATCCAAAACCATTTTTCAAAAAAAGTTATATTTTTGCGAAAAAAACTCATAATCGTGTTTCTGGGGTCGAAATATACTACCCCTAAAAATATTTGCACTTATTTAAGACACACGCTGTATAATACAGCCATACATTTATGATTACCACACGGGCATAATTAAATTGAAAAGAATATTATGGATTTTAAAAGTTATTCTCTATGATGGAAGTAGATTTAAAGAAAGATAAATCATAGATTATTGAATTATGCAGATAACTGATCACCACACAGGCATAATTTAAAAAAAAATGGAAAGAATATTATAGTTTTTAAAATTTGAAGAGTCCAAGGGAAAAACATGATAAGCGCCAATTTCTTAGTTTTAGGGCTTTACTATATTGTAGTAGATCTAACTAGTCTCTACAAAATGTATAAACTCTGCAGGGCAATAAGCTGTTAAATCCTATAATATAAACATACCTAGTAAACATATTCATACATGCAAACAACATAATAACCACAAGCTGTCCAGTGCTCTCCTGCAAAATTAGTAAAATCGCGTTTATCATGTTTTCCCCTGGACCCTTCGGTTATTAAGTTATGCAAGTAGACTTTAAGAAAGGTAAATCAGAGAATATTGAATTATGCAAATAATTGATGTAATAACAGATAGTAACATTTTTTGTTGATATTTTTACAAATAATATTAATTAATTTCAGAAAATATATACATTTAGTATGATATGTCAATAGTGATGTTGCTGAAAATATGACTCAATTGTTATTATACCAATCAATTTTTCCACATTTTTAATTTGAATGTTTTGACTTTCATAAAACTCGCTCCACCGGTCACCAAATCGAACGTTATTTATGAAGAACTATCTTACCTGACTTCATATGTCTCCACTTGATCGCTTTCTAAATCCCCATCCGTAATGGGCGCGTCCCATTCCAAAGTAATCTCCGTACTTTTAACCGAAGTTACCTTAATATTCGATATACTACTAACCACCGAGGCTTCGGTCGTAACAACTATATTAGCATATTCGGCATTGGGCCTCAAACTGAGATGAGAGACGCCGTTTTCGGCAAACACCTGAAATCGGTACGTGGTGACCGCGTTTAGGCCGCTAATCTGGATTCGTGTTTCGTTGAAAGTTTCCTGGAAAATACATTAAAATAAGGTTATGTAATTTAGAAAGTTAATGCTACTTGATTGGATCGTACCGTTGACGGATTATACTGTACGAGACCTCCGCTACAGGCGTCGCATCTTAATCTGTACACTGTATCGTTTCGGCCACCTTGATTTTCTGGAGGCTGCCACGTCAAAAATACGGTGGACTGGTCGACGAAATTTACAGTTAGATTTAAAGGAGCTGAAGGAGGTTCTGAAAATTAAAAATAATTTAATCTAACATTATAATACGAAAAGTGGAACATTATTTATATACAGATTTATTCTGTGCAGTCAAGAAATATATTTCAACATGTGAAACAGACATTTTTTTTCAACAAACGTCACAAAAGTATTAATTTTTGCGACGTAATTGACTATATAAAAAAGTAATTACATATGACGCCTAGGCACAAAACTAAAGCACTTTTACGCCTAAGCATAAAAGTACGAAAATATATTATTAAACTGATATAAAGTGTCAAATTCAACGGGCGTAACCATAGTTTCTCTATACAGGATGTTAATTTGTTTATTACTCGCGGCAAGAGCTTTATGGTTGAAATATGGCAACCTCGGCCTGCTCCTCGAGAGACGACGCGACGGGACGAGTCGGCAGCGTAGTTTAGTACTCATTTGGAATGTAGGCAGTGTTGCCATTCTATTCCCAAACAATCAACCGTCCAGTTAACAATCTGTATATAATTACATACAAGATATGTCTTTTAAATCTTTTTATATTATTTGAAATGTTTGAAATTGTTTAAAAACTTATTTCGTGGCGTTTGAAAAAAAAATAGCATAGTCTATTCGGAGTAAAAATTACTTTTTGTGCCTCAATTGTATGCGGGACTCGCTAATGCTCGTCCGTCAAACATATAGCCGAGTGTTCATTTTTACACATAATAATCTAACCTATACTATATATATTAGATTTAGAAGGAATACAGAGCATCAAAAGTGGAATATGTATAGCAGTAATGAAATAATAGTTTTAATAATTAAATAATTTTAATATTTAAATCATTTTTCGATACACAAAAGCTATTTAGAGAGCAAAAATAAGATAAGATATTTAGAAGATTATTATTTTAATTTTATATTTAATATGTTTTTTTTAACACAACAAATTACAAAATGTTCTATTAAAAATCCTCTTGAATGACACAACAATTTTGTACATATACAGCATAATCGAAAAAAAAAACGGCGACGAATGACGGCTTGGGAATGACAATCGATTATAATTTTGGCGCGGTCAATCTCTACAGTATGCTCTCTACAGTATATATATAAAAATTTTCACTTGTTCCAAAATGGTTAATCCCGTTTCTTAGTAAACTTTAGAAACTTTAGATAAAACTGTGAAAATATGGTTATGGAAATTTGGAAAAGTATAAACGGGATTAATCATTTTGGAACAAGTAAAAATTTTCTCATAATGTCTGCAATAAAAAAGATTTTCCTCTTGTAAAGACAATCCGGGGACATACTGTAGACGTCATTTTCTAAAAATTCACATAAAAATCGTCAAAAATTAACAATAATTATAAAAACGATAAAAACGGATATATCGATTTCAGACACACAAATCTATTGACAAAAAACTATTTTTTCCCGAATTGTAAACTACACCATTGAAATAGTATTATTAATTACAATTTTTTTAAGACCAATAGGCCGTAAGCGCCATTTAAAATAAATAGTACGGGCCAAGTAAATTACGTTTAGGGTTTGACTTCGCCAAAATTATCATCGATTGTCGTTCCCCAGTTGTCTTTGACGCCGTTTTTTTTACGAAGAACATTTTAGAGCTACTTACGTGTACATGACATGTTCTTCGGATCAGTAGGTGCCCTGTAATATCCCTGATTGCATCGACATTCGGACAATCCATAATCTTGTCCTTGCGAATGTTTTGGACATGCAAGACACGGTCCGTCTCCTACCTCGGACTTGTAAGTTCCTGGTTGGCATACTAAAAAACAAATACGCCAATTATTTATGCTAATATTATTGAAAAAGTAAGCAATACGTACAATTACAAGTTTGTTTTTCCAAGTCAGGCTGAAATCCGGACTTGCACTTGCAACCACCAGTTGGTAACGTCCACTTGCCATCACCTTTGCATAAGTAGATTGGGGCTCCCCCAACCACCTCGGCGTTGTCCACGCAAGTGCCTTGAGCTTGTTCTATAATGGTTATTTCTTTACCAGTTGGAGTCGCTGGAAACCTGGCGAAGTTGATAGTCACTTCTGGGCAGGTAATATAATATACCTAAATAAAAACAATGAATATTAATAATCGGAAATTTAAATCAACTATGCCTACTATTTGAATTTTTTTTTTCGTATAAGAGTGATTTTAGCCTCATTGTTCTTACTTTATAATAAAACAATCAATTACGTTTTATTTCTATTTACTAAGAATTCACTGCGGCCACGAGCGGATATTGTGGCTCAGTTCGTAACTTTGTTTTGTTTTGCTTTTTATTCAGTAATTTACCTTTTAATCCAGTTAATTAATTACCAACTTTTTATACAGTAAATAATGAATTTGAATAACTTTAGGAAGAATCGGAAATACGAATGCTACTCTAAAGACTATTTACATAGTACTTTACTTGTTACTATAGGCAGTATATTCCAGAGATAAAAATTAGTAAAAAAGTTCGTATAAATTTATGTCCTAAAATTGTTCGTTTCGGAAATACAGGGTGTAGAAGTATGATTCTTATTTCAATTTTTTCCAAATAATTTTTAAGCTAACGCCACATCTAACGCTTTCATCTAAATGAAAATGGAGCCTGGGTGTTTTGACACGACAAATTCGATTTCGAGTCAGTATGACTCCTACCTGGAGAGTAATAACTTTTCGTCCGTACCTGTATAAACCTATTCAGTAAAAAAATATACATTTCCGTCATGTTTTACGTAAAAAAGGTCTGTTGGTAAAGATATATGGTTGTCAAGATATATGGAATCTAAATAGTCAATAGATTACAAAAATTATACATATTGACTGAAATGTTATTAGTCTGCTATTAATAAATTTAATATGTTTTTGTGCGAAGGATTCAACAGAAACTGTTTTATCGTATTTTTTTCCAGAAAAATTCACGATTAGCTTAAAAAAATAAAAAAATTCTCAAATTTATCAATTCAGTCAAATAACTATCTAGTCAACGTGTTTATTTTTTGTCAATAATGCCATGTATTGACTATTTCCATTCCAAACATCTTGAAAACAGTTGCTCGTAGCAATTTTTACCAAGACATATTTTTTACGTAAAAAATTACGAAAATACATATTTTTTTGTAGTTTTATACAGGTACGGATGAAAAATCATGACTTTTCAAATCAATATAAAATTATGTAGGCGGCGCCTCCTACAAGCAGGAGTCATATTGACAGCAAAATCAAATTTCTCATGTCCAAAAGACATCAATTTTCATCTAAATATCGATGTTACTTTAGACATTATTTGGAAAAAACCAAAATAAAAATAAAACTTCTACACCCTGTATCTCCGAAACGAAGCATTTTAGGACATACATTACTATTTAATACATAAACTTTTTTCCTTATTTATTCCTTTTATCTGTAGAATATATTGCCGAAGTTTCCGGAATACAATTCGTACCACCCTTTATATGTGGGATATAAACATTTACCATACCGGTACAAAAAACAAGCTCAAATAATTTATAGATATCACAATTTCAACTTACAAAAAAATCTATATTCGTATTATTAATAGTTTCTTTTATGCGCTCAAAGTTATTTAAGCATGTTAGAATTTATACAGAACCATGGTCTATCAGCTTTGAGAAATTAAAAATGTACTGATATTTATTTACACATAGGCTAAGTACTGTATGCTTACCTTAATAGCTAAAAGTGATATACAGGCACCCTGGTCTCTAAAAGCGATGTAAACTCCTCTCTTAGTGACTGGAATGCTTTTGACCTCGGTGTTTATGTTCACTTCGCTGTTGGAGTTGAATCGACCTTCTCCAGCTGCTATACGTCCTGAAAAAAAAGAAAACAAAATCAATCTTTGACATCCTTAAATAATCTGACAAAATATAGTACTAATACGTGAGAATGAACCTTAGAGCGGAAAAGATAAGCGGATCCGGAATCGCACACTCGGAGGCTACCGCTTCGAAAATATTGAAGATGTTGCCGGGAAGTTAATAACGTAAGTCAGCCGTTACCACAAAGTTACCGAATGGTTATAAACACTTAACAATCTAACTTTACCATCCCTATAGATAAGGTTTCAGAGTGAGTGCACTGTATAATTTACATTAATAATAATACTAAGAGGAAAGAAAATTGTATGAAAAAAAAAATAAAAATTGTGTTCGAAAAGGGAGAACCAAGCAACAGCCTGGTGTATCCTCATCAAAGGGCAATAGAGTACCAGGATGGAAAGCCGTCCAACACCGAGAGGGTCGTGTCACGAGCTTTGCCAGAATCCCAATGTAAGGACATCGAGTTGGCGAGTAATCAACTCGAGGGAGGAGGGCCATGGTCAGGTCCTCACAGTAGGAATTGACCTCATATCCAAGAAAGTGAGAAAGAGATATCCTCTATTATAGATTTGGGATAATAGCGGTATTAGGTCTATAGAGAGACCAAATTAAAGAGCCAGCATTTGCCTCACGGGTATCTTAGCCGGAGACAACCTCCTCGATTGTGAAGGGCACAGAGGACCAAACCTCAACCGTTGTAGATGTCCACTCCTTGGAGGAAGAATATCTATTGTCAGAGGAGGATGGGAAATACCCTGTCACCCCTACAACAAGAAAATACCCATGTATGATGAGTTATAACTCAAGAAAGAGGGACACGATAGATCTTTAAGGTCGCGGTGATGAAAACCCCCCTCACATTCATTCTACATTCTACATTCGAGAAAGGAAATTGCTGATATCTGTCTGTAAAATAGTTTCATTCTTACATGTAATTCGCAAACAAATACATACACTACGAATTTTGTTACCCTTTGGGTATGTATTGTTTGTGAAAATCTCATCGCTAGGGAGACTAGAGTTCTCGTGTTTTCAACGAAATCGGGCAATTTGATACGAGGAAAAATGCAAAATTTAATATTCAACCCTCCGGGTCGTTAAAGATTTTGTTTACTTACACACACGCGAGAGTATAAAGGATTTATCGCCACTGATTTGCTTCTTGAAAGCTTTTTTCCAATAAACCGGGCGATTCGTAATGTTTGAAAGTGTTTTTATTAGAAACAGAAAATAATATTTTTATTTGCCCGACGACGGAGCAGCATATAAATCTCCGACCATTTCTATTTGCATAGTTCGATTATAGGAGCTCTCAGACAGTAAAGTTTTATGGTGCCCTTTATAAAGTCTTATAAAGGCGCGCCGCGTATAATAAAACCTCGCTGAAAGAATATGGAAACTTCACCACAATAATAATAAAAATATACATAGTTCCGATAGAGTTCGGCTTCGCTATAGCTGCTTCGAGAAATTATTGCCGAATTTCAATATCACTGAAAGCCACGGTCTGTCTACTGAAAGTCAAAATTTATGTCGCATATTTGAATAGAGCTATAGAAACTGATCACAATAAATTTACTTTAGAAAGTCTTCTTATTTCGAATTAGCACCAAAAATATAGTAACAATATTTTTGGTGTATATAATAACAATACAATTTGCTACAAGTAGTCATGGGGTCACTTGAGCTAGACAGACAGCCAAATATCCGATATGGATAAATAGGAGTGTGACGTAAATCAGGTAAGAACGGTTAAAATACGCTAATAAACAAGAATAAACAGGTTTTAAAAAGAAACAACTGCTTTAAAACAGAAATAATCAGGTTTGAACAAAAAATGAACAGGTCTGTTGTTTTAAGCTAAAAAGCGGTTCAAAACAGCTCAAAAGCGGTTCAAAGTGGTTTAAACCTGTTGATTCTTGTTTATTAGCGTATTTTAACCGTTCTTACCTGATTTACGTCACAATCCTATTTATCCATATCGGATATTTGGCTGTCTGTTTGCCTCAAGTGACCCCATGCCTACTGCTACAAAAATATTACTAATTCCAAGTACTTAATACAGAAAACTTATAATTGTGTTCGTCGTTTCTTCTTCAGATTGACAGAACCTGCACCAAGCTTCTTACAATGCCCTGTTAGTAAACCCACTACAGCTTTGACCCTCTTTCTGTCTTGGCTTTTCAGGTCTGTTGTGAATTTTGGCCATTGTTCTATGAACTTTACACACACGCGTTTAAACACCCACCGCTTTCTAGCCATTCTCGTGAGTGCTTTTGCAACTTCACAGGGGGGTTCTGGGCATTGATGAACCTTGCTTGTTTTTTTTGTCTACTTTCAGTTACCGCCATTTTGTCTGCCTTTTTGTTACCCTAGTGACCCTGGTATACTGGTACCCAGGCTAACGTAACATTTAGGTTTCAGAACCGGAAAATCCCGGTTTCGAAAGTTCCGAAAGCTTCCGGTTCTTTTAAACCATCAAAAAAACGGAATTCGAACTTTCGGTACATTGGTCTACACCTATGAATGCCATTGAGTCTTGTTTGGCCATTTTGTCCGGCTTTTTTGTTACCCACGTGACCCTTGTACGCTGGTACCCAAGTTAGCGTAATACACACAACCAATTATATGGAAAATCATCTATTATTTTTCATAATTTTTGAGACGTATGAAAAAATGTTGTGTTTAAGAATAAAACTCAGTCCTTACCGAAGATTTTTAATGAAAAATAATCCATCTAGTAATAAAAAAAATTAATCAATTCCCAAAATAAACACACTGGTATTTTTTTGTTTCTGAAACGAAATGAGATTTTAAATTTTAATCGTCAATAAGCAAAAACAAAAAGAAAATTGATAATTTTAATAATCCGTGCTGACACCTCTAGCCCTTATGCAAGCTTCTATCCGCGCTCGCATGCTTCTTATTAAATTATCAACGTTGTCTTGGGGTATGTTTTCCCATTCTGCTAATGGTGCATCGATAAGCTGTGCGAGATTTCCTGGATTGTTTCGACGAGCTCTAACCCTTCTTTTGAGCTGGTCTCACAAGTGTTCGATAGGGTTTAGATCTGGTGAACGTGCAGGCCAGTACAAAACTATGATACCTTCCGTTTCAAGACATTCTCTAGCCTCAATTGCAGCTCTTCATCAACATACCTCCGACCCGTTAAAGTTTGTTGAAGTGGTAACAATGGAGTTTTTGCTCCCAGCATAATACCTCCCTAGAACATTACAGTTCCTTCTTTATATTTTGGTACAGATTTAGCAGTCTGGAGTCTGGCCAAATCTTTTTTTTTTAATTCATCTTAGGCCAATTCTGGTTTCAACTGAAACGTTCGCACCTGTAGCTGCTAGAAGTTGTCTTTGTAGCTCTGGATGAGAAACATTGGGATTTCTTCTAGCAATTTGGTACACAAAGTGGTCTTGTTGTTCAGTTGTGACTCTTTGACGATTTTGTCTGGGCCTGTTTTTGAGAGTTCCTAGTTCCAAGTACATCGCATAAATTTTCGATATAACACCCTGGGTAACGCCTACTATTTCTGCTACGTCTCTTTGGGGCATCCCTCATCCAGTGAAAGTAATAATTCTTCCCCTCTGTACATATATTAATCCAACATAAGGCATTTTTAATTTTTTTTGATCGAATGAAAATAACCGGACAATCGTGATTTTACTACTGAACACAACATTCGCAAAAAAATACATCGCAACAGTCGTTTATTCTTTATTATCCTGTTTGTTTTCAACAAAAAGCCTTACCTTAAAGTTGTATACCAATTTTTTCCGTCTGCAAAAAGTTTAGTCAGAAATAGTGATTCCGTATAAGTTTGGTTGTGTGTATTTAGAGCTCAGAACCGGGAAATCCTGGTCTCGAACATACCAGGACTTCCCGTTTCTTTGGAGCCATCAAAGGACCGAGTCTCGAAATTAAATCCTGGTACTGTCGGAACTCGATTACAATAATTAAAAAAAAATGGCGTCGGGAGGCACGTATAGCCGCCCATACTAAAATATGTTAATAAAAAGTTGGTAGGCAGTTCTTTTAATTCCAAAGTAAAGGAATGTTTCCATTTTTTTATCTCAAAAACTGTGACTTTGACTGATTTTGATGTTATTACTAATTTTGTTGCAAATATTATTCCTAATCTTAAATTGAAAACCGCGTTTCGCTAGCTACTGTAATTTTGGAGTTACGATTTTTTAAAATTTTTAACGTCCTCCCATACCCCCTTATCAACCCCCCACCACCACCATAAACTAATAGCCAGATTCTCGGGTGCCACAGTATTTTTGTGCCAAATTTGGTTAAAATTGGTTTAGTGGTTTTTGAGTTATCGTGTTACAGACGGACAGACAGACAGACTGACAGACAGATAGACACCAAGAAAATATTTTGTATTTAGGTCATTTATAACTCAAATAACTAATTTTGAGTGAAATTAAAAGATTTTTTTTTGCTGATCTTAATAGCCCAAGAACGGTAAACTAATAGGATTGCTCATCCTCATAAGACGTACGTTCGCCTCTTGCCGCGCTTTAGCCGACAGTTGTGACGTCATTGTAGTCCTTGTCATGATAGTGTATATTATTAGTTGCCTATGGTAATCTTATAAAAATAACAGCTGAGAAATTTTGAGTTAATTATTTTGTCAATTTTAAATGTAAAAAAGGTGTTTTTAAAGTTTTTAGAGCTATAGAGTATATAAATACGTTCATTTTGTGTTGTGGATTGTGACAAAGTGCTTACTAAGTGCCTCCAATATTGTTTATTAATTATTTTAAAGCAAAATATGGAAGTACTCTAAAAAGAATGCCTGTTAGAGGTGATGCTGTTCTTAAAAATGCATTATCCGAGTATTGAATACGATTTATACAGCTAATTTTCTATACTGCATACATTGGTCGGCTAAAAACATAATAGACGTCTTCCTGGGGTTCAAATATACCACCCCTAAAATATTTGCACCTATTTAAGACTCACACTATTTCT